TTATAATTATGCTTGTCTCTCCCTTTATTAAATTAGTTAGTTCTTTAGCTTGCACAACCATTACGCTCTGCCAATAATAGGCTATTCCGTATTTACCGCGTGAAAACACGGATTTGGTATATCAGAGACGCTACTTGATTTTAGTGAGAAAATGAATGAATTATAGAAAGAAAGAAAGAAAGAAAGAAAGAAAGAAAGAGAGAAAGAAGGGAATATACAACTGTTTTACATCTGTTTCAGTGAAATTTAAAAAGTTGTCAATTTAAAATCTTTCTATTTCTATAACCTTACTTATGAATAAAATTATTAATAAAATTCTTTGCAAGGTAGGTTCTCGGCTATCATAGTTCGTTAGTAATATTTTTGGATTGAACTATTTTTGTTTTATGCTTTCGTATCAGAAATAAAAAAAAATCCTATTAAAACACAACAAACCAGCAAATGATAACGCCAACTTAAAATAATATAATTAAATTAGCTTATTGACTTAGTTTCTAATTGTTTTCAAATTTTGTACAGAGAAATTGAATTGATTTGATAAATGATCGCTGTCATAATCCGTAATTAGTTAGTTACAACACTATTTACATTATTCGTACTATTGTCCTCATCTTTGTTGCCATATTTATCACGTTTCGGCCTTCTTCGGGTGGTTGGAATGAAAATTGAACCCTTTATTCGCTCATTAGGGTAGACTGTTCTAGTTACACGTGCCATGTTTAATGGATGTCAGTTATCAGTTATCTCCTGCTAATTTCCCTCTGAAAGTTCTGTACTGCCTTAACCAGGTATTGAACTCACACTCTTTGGGTCCTGTCACTGGATCTAACTAACGCCTTTATCCACTGTGCCATGTGTCCTTGGAGACGTGAAATTAACAGGAGATAACTGATAACTGCCGAAACGTTGTGATAAATATGGCAACAAAGATGAGGACAATAGTCAGAATAATGTAAATACTCATCTCATAATACCTCATCTCAGAAATATAGACGGATAGTTATAAAGTGACATTTTTTAAAGTAATTCAAATCGTAAACATAATAAGACAGAAACTTTATATATATATATATATATATATATATATATATATAAATCTACTATTCGTCCATGCTTATAATATTGCTGCCACATATGGTCCGGTGCCCCTGCTTTTTCCATTAATGAAATGCAAAGAAAAATCAGTAATATTATTGGTTCTGATCTGATAGCTCAGCTTCAGTTAATTTCCCACCGCCGTAAAGTTGATTCTCTGTGAGTTTTCTAGAAATACTTCCATGTTAATTGTTCAGATTAGCTTTTCGCTATGGTACCTAGATGTTTTTAATTTAATCGTAGTACCGGACAGGCGTCGAGAGTTAAGTGGCTAGATCTAGCCGTAAGTTCTCGCTTGTGGAACCCCTTTTGGCTTTTATTTAAAAAATATTTTACTTTGTGACACGGAAAGTTACGAAACATAAAAATAACATAATGAACAAATTTAAATTTCCAAAACATAGAAATAAAAATATAATTAAAATGTTATACTACGTTGTATCGAGCACTTTTTTAAAAAAGTAAATGCTAAAGAACGGTGGATTTTTAATGTCTGTTCTTTCTCTTTATTTGGATATTATATATATATATATATATATATATATATATATATATATATATATATATATATATATATATATATATATATATATATATATATTGGCTTGATCGGATGTCTAAACCACACTAAGGAGTTGTGATACAGCGAAACAATTTCTCTGTGAATGATATATATATATATATATATATATATATATATATATTTAAGTAATTAAAATCTTGTTAATCTGTATGGATAATCCAAAGGAGGATGAAATCCTGAGAGCTCAATGTTAAGTCAGAGCGAATAATTTAATTTAAAAGAAAAACAGACCACTTTAAGGCTCCATAGTAATAATTTATTTCATCAGAGAATTTTACTTCTTCTCTGGATCCTCAGACTTTACTTTCAAAGACGAAACGAGAAAATGAATTTAAAATTTACACTTTTAACGGGCAGTATTAAGCTTATATAAGTTGAGTTTGATGAGTAATAGTGTGAGAGACATGGTCGAGTTTAGAGAGGGAAGGAAGAGTTTAAAATTTATTTTTATATTTCTTTTTATTACAATACGTAATATTGAGGAAGGAGGGGCTAAGGATCAGACATTGACCTATCTAATCGGTCAACTCAAAGGAAATGATATGGGAAAAAGAAAAGGAAGAAAAAAAAAGGAAAAAGAAAAAGGTGAAATATATATATATATATATATATATATATATATATATATATATATATATATATATATATATCTCGAATGCGTTGGTTGCCCCCACGTATCGAGACTGTGATTAATTGCTACTTTAATCAAGGGAGAAGACAATTCGCTGCGAAAAAAAAATCTAGAATGCCTTGTTCGCCAGCTCATCTACAGTATATTTGCGATCTGGCTCTTACAACAGTTCACCATTCCTGGCAGAACGTTTTCACGGTATTTGATATCTATGAACAAAAGTATTGGAAAGAAAAAGAAAAAAAGAATCTAAGTGAAATCGAGTAGAATAAAAAAAAATAAATATAAAATCCCTAGTATCCCTGGTTCGTGCACAGGTGTTGTCGCATCAAATAACCAAACAGGTCAAAATATATATATATATATATATATATATATATATATATATATATATATATATATATATATATATATACAGTGCTTGGCCATAATATAAGGAACGGAAACAACAAAAGGCATAAATATGTGTATTACTTAAAAAGTAATGCATGATTAGCAATGAAATTTTTACCGAATAAAGATTAGGTTGTAATGCATAAATATTATACAAAGTTACAAAAATTTACATAATATTTTTTTTTATAAAATAAAGATTAAATGGAACAAAGGAAATAAGTTACTGGACAAAAGTTAAGGAACGATCTTGTTAATACTTGATAGTGAACAAAATATCAACAAAAATTGTTGTTTCCGTTCCTTATATCATGGCCGCTAATATATATATATATATATATATATATATATATATATACGAAAGCTAACAAATATTTTAATATATTTTCGGTTTAAACATTATTATGGCTGCAACTTGTTGTATGCTCTGTTATAATTAAACTGTAATGCTGTTTTAATTAAACATCATTAATTACATTTAATGGCCTCAGCAAATTTCTTGGAATATATGTGTTCTCCGATAGGAATCGAACATGTACCACAGGCAGAAACCGTTATTTGGCGTAACATGCTGTTAACTATTTAGCTGCAGAAAACTCCCGGTTAGCAAAGTCCAAGTTACTGCTTAATATTACGAAATTTCTTGAACATTCTGCAAATGTAATTAATACTGTTTAATTAAAAAGAGCATTTACTTAAAAAAGTTGCATCCATAAATATAAACTATAAACAGAAAATATATTAAAATATTTGTTGGATTTAATCCATTCCATCTAATACATACATACATACATACACACACACACACACACACACACACATATATATATATATATATATATATATATGTAACTTGCTTAGCTTTTGAAGAAAGTGATAGGAAATCTATGAAAGAAACCTGTCATAATTTTGAATATATCAGTATGCGATAGTTCTATATGAAAAATCCATTTATGAAAGCTGCAAAGGATAACAAAACTTGATCGGAAATGATGGAGACCTACAGAGAATTCTATGCAATGCGCATGACAGAAATTGGTGTCCCTTTCAAGTTCAGAAATCTAATTTCGTTTTTCTTTGCTTATCTTTTGTTCATTTTTAAGCAGACATTTTCAATTCCTAAAATGTGGATACTCTTTTCTCGTATCTTTTTTTTTTGACAAAAATAATTTAAAATGTTCAAAGAAGGGGATGAAATCTAGACACGAAACCAATTTGATTAAAGTCTATTTTTTTTTTTTAGCAATGTTGACGACTGATTTCGAAAATTCAGTTGTAGGTACACATAAATTTCAAAAATCAACTAATCCTGATTGCCCGTGATACATCAAACATGAAACAAATTAAGTAATACACACACACGCACACACACACACATATATATATATATATAATTGTGTGTTTAAAAAGAAGAGAAGTCGACTTTAAACATGGAAACCAATTTCATCCAGGAAAAACTAAAGGAAATTCAGGCAAATTAGCTTTAATATCGATTTTCCAGAAGCTAAAATATTATTTCCTTGATTGTTTTTATGACGATATTTCTTTGAAAATTTTTTGTTCTTTATCGGTTTTTTTTTTCACACTGACGTGCCAAAAGTCATAGATTAGGTGTCTTGTATGATGTATGGCCGTCTAGAGTCCGGCGAAGTGTAACACCTTGACGTGGCATCGATTTTAAAATTGGTCGGAAGACCTCTGGAGAAATATTTAGTTTTAAGCTATTGATAGCTGCCCACAACTCACGGCTATTTTTAGTCCCAGATCTTGAGGGCAAATAGACTGTACGACCACGTCCCTTCTATGCTGTTACGACCGAATCAAACATTCAAAAAATGTCTCTTACCCTTCTTCGTTTTTGACTATCTGCTTCGGCTTGCGGCTATGTCAGGTTAAAACACCGGTCCTCGTACGATAGCCGAAGTGAAGCAGCATCGAATTGGCTACCTAAATTGGCGTGCGCTTGGAATACCAGATGCTGTACGCTTAGATCTGCAGGTGATGCATCGGAATTGGTAATCTGATAACCGTGTGCCGCTTCCAGTCGGGTATGTTAGATACATTTACAAGGAATTGAATAATTAATTCGTCTTCTACGGCATTTTTTATAAAATATTTTTACACTTTGAGAATTTTCTTTGGCGATAACAATAATTTCGTGATAAAAGTCTTACTAATTAACCCATAACTGGGGGAGAATACGTGATTTATAACTTTCCCAAGGGTATTTGTGCGCAAGTGAAATGATAAATGTAACTGAAATTCTCCGCATAACAATTTGGAGCCATTATCGAATCTCACAGCACGTGGTATTCCCAAGCGGTCACCCATCTAAGTACTGACCAAACTCGGCATTGCTTAACTTCGGTTATCGTACGGGAACCGGTGTTTTAACGTTATATAGCTTATGCGCAAATGCAGTTGGGAAAGGTTTGAATCTACCTCGCCTTCCCCAGCCATGGGTTAAATAGTAGACCTTGTATCAGTAAATCTTTATTATCTCCAAAATGTTCTTACAATCTAAAAATATTTTATGACCTTAAATAAAAAGTAAAAAGTTGATAAGCCGTGGCAAACAATCAATAGATTCCGTAAATGCTTGACTGGGACCATGTTTGGTGAACGGGGAGGGGGGGGTAAGACACAAAATAACATCAGGAATTTGAAGAGTACTGTTCAAATCAATTCTGAACAACATTTGGTCTAAAGAAAAAGTGTATTTTTCTATATAAACAACAATTGTTGCATTACGTGGAATTCATGAAGGTTAAATGGTGAAAGGTTTGGGAAAATTAACGATCACCAGTTAATGAGGCGTTTAGGCGGATCAGAAGATCCCAGACATATGACGTGAAAGAATTCCACACCACCATAGAGATACCACCTCGTTGTCTTGTTGATCATGTCTTTACGGGTTCGGCAGAACACCCGAACACTTTCATCAGACCGAAACAAATGGAACTGTGATTCATCCGATCATAAAACACGTTTCCAGTGTCTAATTAGCGACGTTACGTGCTCAGGTGAGGCGTAAGGCATTGTTTTGTAGTGCTAATAAGGCCAATCTGGTAGGTCCTCTCTTCCTATCTCCCATAAAACTGGAGAACACTGAACTAGATATGTGACAGATACTTCTTGATTTGAATGTGGAGATTTTGTCAATGTCCTTTTTTTCCACAAAAGTTGATAATTCTATTCATTTTTAACTTAAGATTAAATCAGTTCAATTTCAAGTTAAGAAAAACTCAACTTCAAATTAAGGATGACTTTTGGAGTGAAAAAATCTGAATTTTGAATTAAAATTTGATGAGTTCGATTTGAGTTTATTTGATGCTCAATTATTCTTTTGAATTTGAGAGAATAATATGTGTAGATCAATTGAAAACAATTATTCAGAAAGATATAGTTGTAACATTATTAACAATTCTTTGATCATGACTAGGAACCTGTGTATTTTATTTTCCGGTCATTAAAAGTAAAACTTGTCTCAGCTTCAGAAGCCATCCCTCTATATTGCACACCCTCCCCACTGAATTTATAGTCGAGAAAGAATCAGAGTCAAGACATGACGCTTAAGATTTCCAAAAAAGGAAGTGCTCACTTGTAATTTTTGTTCGTAAACCCACATTTACACGTAGGATTGTCATTTTAAACCCCAACTTGTGTCATATCAAGTATGAATCTGCTTGCTGATCAATACTATATATTGGTGATCAATAAGACTAGTTAAAATCTTCTCTTGTTTCACGCACGTCCAATGTTTTGTATTTGCAATCAAATTTATCAATGCCATGTGAACACTGGAGCCGATATTTGTCTTTATTGATGTCATTCTTTAAAACCTTGTGCCAGATATAATTTTCTTTTAAACCAACGTCTGTGTATATTCTCTAGAAACTAAAACATGAACACATTAAAAATTTAACAATATCACACCAAACCTAAGATGCAAATGATGCATTTGTTTTTATTGTTGCTGTTCAATTTTAAATCCCATCCATCTATAAAACAAACGCCTCAAATAAAAAGAAGTGATATTCATAATTTAGGGAAATATTTACTACGGAAGTAATAGAAATCAGTCCATTATTAACATTTAGACACATAAATTTAAACTTAAAAATTAAACGACTTGAAGGAAAATAAAAAAGAGCGAAAGTCTTTTCTAAACTATTAATAGAATCCATAGTGACCTATGTATTTTATTAGTTTATTAAAGACGTTACAACTATAGCTTTCGGGCAATAAAAGACAGTTGAACTGAATATAGCACGAGATCATGCTTAACATAATAATCGTACGAGCATATTAGAGTGGTAAGCGAAATTATTGCTCCGTCTCTCTCAGCATTTTCTCCCTGCCATCTGGGTAAGCGATGATCCTCTTAAATCGTTCATATTACACTAACCTTTAAATTCATTTTGGGATTAAAATAAATGAAAGGAAACTGTTTTGAGGCCAGTCAATATTTTTTATCATTTCATTTTCAAAATAAGAACAGTTCCAATCAGAATAGAATAGCAATCGATCAAAATGAAGTAACACCAATCAAAATAGAAGAGAACTAATCAAAATGGTGTAACAACAATCAAAATGGAGTAACACCAATTAAAATGGAATAGCACCAATCAAAATGGAGTAACACTAATATATATAGAAGAACACCAATCAAAATGGAGTAACGCCAATTAAAATGAAGTAACAATAATCAAAATGGAGGAACACTAATCAAACTGAAACAAACACTTTATCACAAAAGGATCGAATCGGGGAAGTTAATTAAATCGTGGCGGGTTGGGTTTGCGCGAAAAGATGCAGACTTAAGTGAATTTTCAGAGTCATGAAGTATCGATAAAGGAGTGAAGTTCTCTTCGGCACAGATTCCAGGTTAAAAGTCCTTCCCAATCTTTTGAAAAGGATTAAAATTTATTACTTGTTCTCTGATTAGGATTGGGTTTCGGGTTCCTTCGAAAGTCTTTTCATTCTCTTTCACTTCCAGTGCCCCTTGCATCTTAGTGGCATTATTGCCTTGCTTGGAGTGAATTGATTCAAAATAAAAGTCTTAAGCTTACTTCCATTGTTTTTAAGAGTGTTGATTGACTTGACAGGAAATAAACTGTTATTCTTAGTTAAGTCAGTGATTGCAGACTTTATTTCCCTTCCATTCCGTACTATTTCATTTTGATGTCCACTGTCCCCCATTTTGAAAATAAAAATGATATAGAAACTAAAATGCTAAGTTCATTTGACTATCTGAAACAACGACAAAGTGTTGAAAAGTAATTTTACACTAGAAAAATACATGATTTACTTGGGCTTGTCCTATCAATATTGAAAATATAAATACGGATTCTGGAATTGTTTTAAAGATGAAGTCATAGAAGTGGACGTGTGTGTAGGATAACGGTTATCTCCGCTGAAAAATGGTATGATCGAGCCGGGTTCGAGTGCTAGACTCCGCTCTTACATTCACTTTCTTATACATGCCCTAGAGAAAGACTTAAACCAAGATGTTTACCCATGGGTTATGATTTAAATAGCCGGTTAGACAGCGGTCGTTCTTCAGTCATTATAGTAGAAAGCCAAATCTGAATTCAGTGGAGATAATAACGGGACACCACTCCGTTATTTTAGTCAAAACATGAAAGCATTTCACAGTTGATAAAAGTAAATAATCTTTTACGGTAATAAATTTAGTCGTTGCCTTATATGGAAACTGTTGTATCCTTAAAGAAGGTTACAAACATGCAAATGTGGTACTCAAGTGAAAGGAACAACAACACGGGCGTAGATGAAAGAAAGAGAGGTTTATTGTAAAAGAGAATACACTACTGAAAGACGGATTCGGTTAGCAAACTAGTAATTCCCGAAACAAAGTCCGCCAGGTATATCCTGTGCTTACTATATATATATATATATATATATATATATAGTCAGTCCACGTAGGCGATAGGGAGAGTGGGGCATTCAATTACAACACCTCCCCGAAATTTTGCTCAGTACCTCTTCTTTTTGGGGTCAGGACATAGTTGTTTGACTTTTTTTCCTCTTCCTAGTATTTTCCCTCTCACCAATTTTCGTACTGGTGAGATTTGAGGCCATAGCGGTTTTTGGGGAGCTGATACTTCCGGCACTGGTGGGGTTGGCGATACTTCCATCGGTACTTGTGGAGATATGGGAAGTGGTATTTCAAATGCGTCATATATTACCTCCATTGCTAATTCTTCACAAGGTGTGACATCTCCCCGTATGTCTTGGCCTTAACTGATTTAAATGTCGCTTACACCCAAATCTTCTTCCTTTGAGCATGTATATCACTCTGCCAAGTCTTTTGGTGATAATTCTCTCTTCCCAGAAGATTTTTCCACCTCTATAAATTTTGAGGGAAACTGTCTCCTGGTTTGTAAAAGAAACTTTTGGAATTCACTGACCGAGAAGCCATTGATACTGTCGACTTAAGTTCATAAAATATTTCTCTTAAAACAATTTTTCAGGAAATTACTTTTCTTACGTCCAGTAGTTGTTACCGCTCTTTTCAGTAATGGCTTAGCTTTCCTTCTTATCATTTTGTTCGAAGTAGTGTGAGAAGTGAGCATCTTGATTGCATCCTAATTTTCTCTTCCAGTTACATGTGTTATTCATTTTAGTTGTTGCTTCCGTGGAAAGTTCACAAGTGATGTGGTTTCTGTTATTTGCTGTTGTTCTTTGTGATTCTTTAACACTAGTCTATGACAAGTACGGTTCTTACTGAGATGTCCATGTTATACTCACGAAGCCATTTTAAATATCGATTTGAGAAAGTGGTTCTATACAGCTGACAGTTTAGATATTTCTGAACGAATTTGACATCAGTCATGGCTTAGATATGAAATTATCGACCTGATGTTACAAGTTAAGAACCTGACTCGAGTTGTGAGTTTAATATTTTAATTTGTAGCAAACATCAAACCTCTCTTTTCGGTATCTATGCAGATGAGACAGCTATTTACTCCTGTCAAGAGTAAGTCAGATCTGTTCGATAAAATCAAATTGGCAGCTGATCTTTGAAATTGAAAATACTCTTCTGTGAACTGGGCAAGAAATGGTTTGTTCATTTTCAGTCAGTCTGTTATGTACCATGAGTGATACACGGTTAGACGATCATGTATCTTTCGATACCATGACTGACGAGGCAGATATCTTTCCCGCAGTAGGTTGCTTTTCTTTCTGAGTTTCACCAGTTGCCATCCAAGGCTATGGAATCCAATCTCTCCTGCTATTTATCCATAACTGGAGGAGAAGAAGAGGATTCATACCTTTCCCAGGGATATTAGCACGTAAGTGGATATAATGGATTCGAATGGAATTCGAACTCTGCTCTCTGATTTCTCAGTGCGGGCCGCTATCCATTCCTCTA